CCCAGACAATGCCCCCCAATGTTCCGCAAGCACCAGGCGGACTCGGGGGCTCAGGGCGCCAGCCCCCCTGGCTCCGTCAGCGAAGAGATAGAGGCCCCCCCCTAAGTCCCCCCTCTACCCCTCCTCGCCCCCCCGGGTCCCCTTTCCCTCACTTGGGGTTACGGGTCTCTGAAGCCCGAAGAGCAAGAGGGGCAAAAGCTTTTCCATGGTCCGGCCTTTTGTTGTTTTTTGCTGATCTTCACCTGAAGAATTTTGTTTTTTATTGATTTCTTTTTTTCTTTTTGGTTAAATGCTCACCTGAGGATATTTTTCCATTGATTTTTAGAGAGAGTGGAAGGGAGAGAGAGAGAGAGAGAGAGAGAGAGGGAGGGAGAAACCTTGATGTGAAAGAGACTCATTAATTGTTTGCTTCCTGCACTTGCCCCGACCAGGGCCGGGGATCGAGCCTGCAACTGAGGTACATGCCCTTGACCGGAATAGAACCCAGGACCGTTCAATCTGCAGGCCAGTGCTCTATCCACTGAGCCAAACTGGCTAGGGCTCCATTAATTTTTTTTAAATATATTTTTATTGATTTTTTACAGAGAGGAAGGGAGAGGGATAGAAAGCTAGAAACATCGATGAGAGAGAAACATCGATCAGCTGCCTCCTGCACACCCCCCACTGGGGATGTGCCCACAACCAAGGTACATGCCCTTGACCAGACTCGAACCCGGGACCCTTCAGTCCACAGGCCAACGCTCTATCCACTGAGCCAAACTGGCTAGGGCTCCATTCAGAGAGAGTGGAAGGGGAGGAAGGAGGGAGGGAGAGAGAAACATTGATGTGAGAGAGACTCATCGATTGGCTGCCTCCGGCACACACCCGGACCAGGGCCGGGGATTGGACCTGCCACCCAGGCACATGTCCTTGACCGGGAGTCGAACCCGAGACCCTTGGTGTGTGGGGGCGATGCTCTAACCACTGAGCCATGCCGGCCGGGCTGTCGTGCCTGGTTTAGGCCCTAAAACGCAGTGTTCCACGTGATGGGCTCTCTGGATCTGGCCGCCTGGGACCCGGGTGTGTAATATGCCCCTCCCTGCCCCCGCCTTGTCGCTCAAGTAGGTTGAGTCCATCGAGTTCAGCGTCTGGGACATCGGCGGCCCGGCCAGCATGGCCACGGTCAACCAGTGCTTCTTCACCGACAAGGCCCTGTACGTGGTGGTGTGGAACCTGGCGCTGGGGGAGGAGGCCGTGGCCAGCCTGCAGTTCTGGCTGCTCAACATCGAGGTGAGAGACCCGGCCCGTCGGTCCACGGTCCTCGGACATCCCAGGGCCCGGCCGCTTCGCTAGAGCGCCCCCCTTTGACAGAGAAGAAGAAAAAGGAGAGGAAATGGTCAGGAAGAAGCGCTTGGCATCTTTTTTGTTGTTGTTAATCCTCAGCTGAGGGTATTTTTTCCATTGATTTTTAGAGAGAGTGGAAGGGACGGAGGAAGGGGGAGACAGAGAGAGAGAGAGAGAGAAACATCGATGTGTGAGAGAGACATCGATCAGCTGCCAAGGTACATGCCCTTGACTGGAACCGAACCTGGGACCCTTCAGTCTGCAGGCCAACGCTCTCTCCACTGAGCGAAACCGGTTAGGGCCCTTCTCCCTTCATTTAAGAGCCCCCCACTATTGGGTAAAAGGCGACAGGGCTCCCCTCTCAGGTGGAAAGGTGACAGGGCCCGTATGCAGCTGCACTGTCTGATGAGACCAGAAACCCAGCCCCTGGGGGAGTCCCGGGGGGCCCCAGGCACCCCTCCGTCAGTGCCTGACTGCCCCTGGGGGTTTACAGACAGGAGTGCAGTGGCGGCCCTGGGTGAGTGACAGGCTCAGGGCCACAGGCGTCCAGGCTGGCGCACCTGCGCACCTGGCAGGGGGCTCCCCTCCCCGGTGCAGGCGACGGGGGCAGGTGCTCAGCCCAGCCCGGGGCCGGGGGGGTTCCTCTGTCGCAGGCCAAGGCCCCGAACGCCGTGGTGCTGGTGGTGGGAACCCACCTGGACTTGATCGAAAGCAAGTTCCGCGTGGAGAGGATCGCGACGCTGCGGGCCTACGTGCTGGCGCTCTGCCGCTCCCCCTCGGGGTCCCGGGCCACGGGCTTCCCGGACATCACCTTCAAGCACTTACAGTGAGTGTCCCAGGCCTTCCTGCTCCCATGCGTGCTCTGACCTCCCCTGTGGCTGTGGCTGCTGGTCCCTGTCTTGTCCACCTTCCCTGTAGTACCTGGGATCTGCCTGCAGGGGGCGCTGAACCAAGGGCTGGGCTCCTCTGGGGCATCTTCTGGTTTGAAGGGTTGCAGACATGGCCCTGGGGAGGGTGAGGAGCCTCGAGAGGTGTGGCAGGACAAGGCCTGGCCACACCCTCTCTGTGCATCCTTCCTGGGTCACCCCACCAGCCCTGTGGCCAGTGCTGAGCCTGCACGGCCCATCCCATGTGGTTGAGCATCACACTAGGAACCAGGAGGTCACGGTTCGATTCCCGGTCAGGGCACTTGCCCGGGTTGTGGGCTCGATCCCCAGTAGAGGGCGTGGAGGAGGCAGCTGATCAGTGATTCTCTCTCATCATGGGTGTTGCTCCCTCCCTCTCCCTTCCTCTCTGACATCAATAAAAAATACATTTCGCTCTCACAGCGAGATTTCCTGCAAGACCCTGGAGGGCCTGGAGGGGCTGCGGCAGCTGATTTTCCACGTCACGTGCAACATGAGGGACGTGGGCAGCACCATCGGCTGCCAGCGGCTGGTGGGGAGGCTGGTGGGTACCGCAGGCCCCTGGTCCCAGTGGGAGCAGCTTCTGGGGGGAAAGTGGGGGGTGGGCGGTGAGGCCTCCCACCTGCTCGAGGTGCAGGAGGGCAGCGGGCGGGCCGGGCCCCGTGGGACGGGAGGGCTCAGGCCTGCACACCTGCCCCACCTGCCCCAGGTCCCCAGGAGCTACCTGAGCCTCCAGGAGGCCGTGCTGGCGGAGCATCAGCGCCGCAGCCTGAGCGACGACGTGCAGTACCTGACGGACCAGCAGCTGGAGCAGCTGGTGGAGCAGACGCCCGGCAACGACATCAGCGACTACGAGGACCTGCAGTCCGGTGGGTGGGCCGCGGGCAGGGAGAGGGGCAGAGGGGGAAGGCCGCGGGCACGGGGACCCTGGAGAAGGCTCGCCGCTCTGCGCCTGTCTGCAGAGGACCGACCGCAGGTGCACTGTGGGGATTGAGTTTGGGGTCACAAATTGACTTTTTAAAAATATGTCTCTATTTTTTTTTAATTGATTTTCTTTTTCTTTTTTAAGTATATTTTATTGATTTTTTACAGAGAGGAAGGGAGAGGGATAAAGAGTTAGAAACATCGATGAGAGAGAAACTTCGATCAGCTGCCTCCTGCACACCCCCCACTGGGGATGTGCCTGCAACCAAGGTACATGCCCTTGACCGGAATCGAACCTGGGACCCTTGAGTCTGCAGGATGACGCTCTATCCACTGAGCCAAACCGGTCAGGGCAAAAATATGTCTCTATTGATTTCACACAGAGGAAGGGAGAGGGAGAGAGAGAGAAACATCAATGATGAGAGAAAATCATGGATGGGCTGCCTCCTGCACGCCCCCTACTGGGGATCAAGCCCACAACCACAGGCATGTGCCCTGACTGGGAATTGACCCATGACTTCCTGTTCATAGG